GGAATTGTGGGCTCCCAGATGTGAAACTGGCCCCCAATAATCCTAAATTGTTGCTAGATAGAAAGTTGTATACTACTCACTGTAGCCCATTCCCTGCAAAAAGTACTTGAAGGCCTCGGTGAGCTTCCCAGGCTGGGGGGATAAAACAAGAGGGCATTAATCTTCGCACAGACAGAGAGGCAGAATTAAATGGGTGTTTAAAAAAAAAAATTCCTTACCTGAACTACCTGGGGCAGTCCCCCACAGTCTGCCATCTAGAAAAGGAAAAATACGCAAGTCAGCTGGGACTTACCCTTAAGAGAATTGCTCTGAACACCCCAAGTCCTTTCAAACAGAACAAGATCGAATTCTAGGTTTTAATGTTTAACTGCAAGTTTACATCTCAATGCACCTACATACAAACATTTATAACCTTGGATGAAAATCTGATATCATTATTACATACTTATGTATCAATAAGACTGAAGCCCTGACTTTCAGGCCCATGGTGGGAATTTTCTGTTGAGGTGATAGTGAAGTTAACCACTATTCTCAACCATGAAAAGCACCTGAAGAATGTTCCTTTCAGAGCCCTCGAACAGTGTGACCCTAACTTCTCTGTGCATCGTGCTTTCCAAGTCCCATTTCAACTCTACATTATCTTTCCTCCATGAGTGAGGACACTCAGCCATCAAGAGCTGATACTGATTCAGCCGGCTCACTCAGTCAGTTACTTTCCTCTAATAGCTGGGTTTGGTAATGCTGCTTTTCACTTCATAAACATTTACAGCTGGTTATTCTCATGCGTGCAAGGATTTCTAGGATATGGCTTCATTAGTGTGTGCTGGAATTACCTGAAGGACTTGTTAAAACTCAGATTCTTGGATTCCTGTCCCAGAGACTCTGATTTGATAGGTTTGGGGTATGGTTCACGATCATGCATTTCTGGCCAGGCGCGGTGGCTCACATCTGTAATCCCGGCACTTTGGGAGGCCGAGGCGGGGGGATCACTTGAGGTCAGGAGTTCCAGACCAGCCTGGCCAACATGGTAAAACTCCATCTCTACTAAAAACACAAAAATTGGCTGGGCGCGGTGGCTCACGCCTGTAATCCCAGCACTTTGGGAGGCCAAGGCGGGTGGATCATGAGGTCAGGAGATCGAGACCATCCTGGCTAACACGGTGAAACCCCGTCTCTACTAAAAATACAAAAAATTAGCCGGGTGTGGTGGCGGCGCTTGTGGTCCCAGCTACTCGGGAGGCTGAGGCAGGAGAATGGCATGAACCCTGGAGGGGGAGCTTGCAGTGAGGCGAGATGGCACCATTGCACTCTAGCCTGGGTGACAGAGCGAGACTCTGTCTCAAACAAACAAACAAACAAACAAAAAATTAGCCAGGCATGGTGGCACACACCTGTAGTCTCAGCTACTCTGGAGGCTGACACAGAAGAATTGCTTGAACTCAGGAGGCGGAGGTTGCAGTGAGCCAAAATCATGCCACTGCACTCCAACCTGGGCAACAGAGAGTCCATCTCCAAAAAAAAAAAAAAAAAAAAAAGGAACTTACAGTTCTAATAAGCTCCCAGATGATTTGAATCTACTATCCACAGTAAAGCATTTTTAGGGCATGCTGGCCCTAGGCCTGCTCTTTCTTCCAGCTGTTACGCACTCTGGGCTCAGATGATATCCTATTCAGGCTGACTGGCTTTTTTAAAAAAGGAACATGAACCCCATGGTTTCAATTCACTGGCATCAAAACTTATTATGAGGAGGCACTACAACCGAGGAGAATGCCACAGAAGACATAGAAGTTTGAGATTAACAAGGGAGAGGCCTCTGAAAATTCTAAGCATAAGATTATAAACAAACATTTAATCTAACAAATATACAAAAAAACCAAACCAGCACAGGCTGTATTTTCATGAAGTTTAGGAGCTGAAACCTGATTGGAATATAGAACAGTTCCCATATGCAGAGAGAATACTGGAAGAAACTATTTCCAAGATGGGTACCTATCAAATGGTTTGAGAATCAGTTCGATCTGCCACAGGAGTTATCCACTCTATTCTATGGTGTTATAGATGGGCATTTTTGCCCAAAAATAACTATGTCTATGGTTATTGTAGGGTTTAGTTTTCTGCTTTTGAATATTGATTCAAACCTGAAGTGAGAAACTAGTTTGAAACTACAAACTTAAAAAAAATTTTTTTTTTTTTGAAATAAAGTCTCGCTCTTGTTGCCCAGGCTGGAGTGCAATGGCACAATCTCAGCTCACTGCAACCTCTGCCTCCCAGGTTCAAGTGATTCTCCTGCCTCAGTCTCCAGAGTAGCTGGGATTACAGGCGCCCAGCATCATGCCCGGCTAATTTTTGTATTTTTAGTAGAGATGAGGTTTCATCATGTTGGGCAGGCTGGTCTTGAACTCCTGGCCTCAGCCTCCCAAAGTGTTGGGATTACAGGCATGAGCCACCATGCCCGGCCCCTCCCCCAAATTTTTAGACCAGCCCATCAATTGCCTGGAGGGCAGAACATTTTGAATGTGGTCACCTCAGAGCATTAACCTCACATTAGATTTCTAGGAACTACAGGCTGTTTCTGGTAACAGCACTTCCCTTTCAAACACACTTCAAAGAGAAAAGGAAGATGGCAGAGGTCTTTCAGACTGAAAATGTAGCAGTAAGCAACATATGATCAGCACTGAAATCTACAGTAGTCCAAGTACAAACTAGAAGGTCAGCTACCTAAACACTTTAGTAGAGGCTCTAGGAAAAGCTAGGTTGAAACAATAACAGGTAGAAATTCTTGCCTCCTATATACTCAAAAGTGGGAGACACTTGATACTCTCTCTAGATATTTAGCATAAGAGTTGGTCTGTATTTGCCCTAAGAGAAAGAAAATGCATACACTCTCATCATGAGAATTGTTACTGAAAGCTTCCTTACCAATACAGCAGCAGGACTTTGCATATAAAGAATTTACATCCATTATGTTAATTCTCACAACATTAAATTATGTTGACAAAGTTTTTTATTTTTGTTTTTTTTTTGAGACGGAGTCTTGCTCTGTTGCCCAGGCTGGAGTGCAGAGGCCGGATCTCAGCTCACTGCAAGCTCCGCCTCCCAGGTTTACACCATTCTCCTGCCTCAGCCTCCCGAATAGCTGGGACTACAGGCGCCCGCCACCTCGCCCGGCTAGTTTTTTTTTGTATTTTTTAGTAGAGATGGGGTTTCACCAGGATGGTCTCGATCTCCTGACCTCGTGATCCACCCCTCTTGGCCTCCCAAAGTGCTGGGATTACAGGCTTGAGTCACCGTGCCTGGCCTTTTTTTTGAAACAGGGTTTCACTCTGTCATCTAGGCTGGAGTGCAGCGTCAGGAGCACAAATCCTCAAATTCCTGGGCTCAAGGAATCCTCATGCCTCAGCTTCCTGAGTAGCTGGGGCTATAGATGTGTGCCACCAAGCCCAGCTAATTTTCTGATTGTTTTTGTAGAGACAGAGTCTCACTATGTTGCCCAGACTGCTCTCAAACTCCTGGCCTCCCATCTCTGCCTTCCAAAGCGCTGGGATTATAGGTGTGAGCCACTGCGCCCAGCCAAAGTTTTTAGTTACATGGGAAAGGCTATGTCATAAAGTTGAGGAAAACATACAGGGTTGTAAATACTCTCTGACAGGGTATCACTCTGTCACCCAGGCTGGTCTCAAACTCCTGGACTCAAGCGATCAGCCCACCTCAGCATCCCAAAGTGTTGGGATTATAGGCATGAGCCACCGTGCCCAGCCCCTCTCTAATTTTAATGATGTAAAAATGTATAGGAAAAAGCAATATTTTTTTTTTTTTTTGAGACGGAGTCTCGTGCTGTCGCCCAGGCTGGAGTGCAGTGGCCGGATCTCAGCTCACTGTAAGCTCCGCCTCCCCAGTTTACGCCATTCTCCTGCCTCAGCCTCCCAAGTAGCTGGGACTACAGGCACCCGCCACCTCGCCCGGCTAGTTTTTTGTCTTTTTAGTAGAGACGGGGTTTCACCATGTTAGCTAGGATGGTCTCGATCTCCTGACCTCGCGATCCACCCGTCTCGGCCTCCCAAAGTGCTGGGATTACAGGCTTGAGCCACCGCACCCGGCCGGAAAAAGCAATATTTTACCAGAGGTTTGGGTGGTAGGATTACGAATAATTTAAATTTATTTTATTCCATATCCTTTCCTCTTTTTTGCAATGTTTTACAATGAGAACATATTCAGGAAAAAAGCTTTATTTTATTTTACTTGTTTATTTATTTTTGAGATGGAGTCTTGCTCTGTTGCCCAGGCTAGAGTGCAGTGGTGTGATCTCAGCTCACTGCAACCTCTGCCTCCCGGGTTCAAGCGATTCTCCTGCCTCAGCCTCCCAGGTAGCTGGGACTACAGGTGTGTCCCACCATGCCCGGTTAATTTTTGTATTTTTAGTAGAGATGGGGTTTCACCATATTGGCTAGGCTGGTCTCAAACTCCTGACCTCATGATCCACCTGCCTCAGCCTCCCAAAGTGCTGAGATTACAGGTATGAGCCACTGCACCTGGCCAAAAGCATAATTTCAAAAAGAGAATGAAGGCTGGGCGTGGTGGCTCACACCTGTAATCCCAGCACTTTGGGAGGCCAAGGTGGATGGATCACAAGGTCAGGAGACTGAGACCATCCTGGCTAACACGGTGAAACCTCGTCTCTACTGAAAATACAAAAAATTAGCTGGGGGTGGTGGTGGGCGCCTGTATTCCCAGCTACTCAGGAGGCTGATGCAGGAGAATCGCTTGAACCCGGGAGGTGGAGGTTGCAGTGAGCCGAGATCGAGCCACTGCACTTCAGCCTGGGTGACAGAGCAAGAGTCTGTCTCAAAAAAAAAAAAAAAAAAAAGAAGAGAATGAGATAACCAAAGAGAGGGAAGCTTTGCTTCTTTCTCGGCAATTATTCCAGTGATTAATCTAAAGCATATATAAGGGTTGGAAGTGAGGGAAGAAGACACATTACCTTTAGCAAAGTTGCGTTTACAGGGTTCAGGCGGGAATTGCATTCAACCTAAAATTTAAAAAAAAGGAGAAAATAATTTTATGAGTTGCTGGGAAAAAAAATGAAATAGCTCGGCATGAGAATGATCTTGCAAGATCAACAGCTCAGTTTGCAGAAGGCTGAACCAGCCAAAGAGATTACCAAAATACATAATGGGAGATATATTTATATGATATACTTTTGATATTTCTGAGCAGATCTAAAAATTTAACTTATCTAATTTTCTGAATCAGTTATGTGTCTTTAAAAAACTACAAGCTGAATCTAAGTCTTCCTACTGACTAGCTATATAACATGAAAGTAGGTTACCTTACTTCTTTGAAAAATGGACTGGACCGTGGGTCCTCTCCTGCTGGAATCTCTTTAATGGCTTCTGAGCACAACTAGTTCTAACGGCTAAGCCCTGGGCACCTCCCTTGCCTCACTTTTCACCTCTTTCCTTAGTGGGTTTGCCATTCTTTATATCCTCACTCTTTTCCATCTCAAGGTCTTTGGCTATCCAGTCCAATGTTGAACTCTTCTCATTTTTCTCTCATGGAGTCATTTAATTAAGAATCGTGGCCCTGTGCATTCACATGTCTGATATCCTGCACCCTTGTGTTCATGAAGGCAGAGATCTCAAAGAAAATGTTCTGGGGAGACAATCTCTCCGTTCCGCATTGTTTTACAGCTATTTTGATCAACTGGATCTCTCCGTTTATATGTTTGCTAAGAACATACATGTAAAACCTGTGCTTAGAATCTGGAACCAGCAGGGTGAAATATGTAATACAAAGCAAAATGAAACCACTGCAAATGCTTCCCAACTGAGCTGAGTGAACACAGAAAGAAGTGGGATTTCTACAGGTAGATAAAGGGAAAGGGTGAGTGCTTGAGGGCTTCCAGAATCAAGGCGAAAGCATAAGCAAAGCCCCAGGGGTGGGAACGGAACAGCTACCGAGGCAAGTGTGAGGTGAGATTGACTGAAGGTGAGGCTGGGGCACAGGCTGGAGCTGACTGTGGAAGGCAGGATGCCACAGAAGGTGTCTGAAGTGACAGGATTTGAGTTGTTTTAGGAGAGCAGTGGCCTACATGATAGACTGCAGTAGCAGCAAGCAGTGGTTAAAATTACCTAAGCAAGACCCAGTAATCCAGATGAACTTTTACTCTGGGGATTGCGGGTGGGGGGTATAAAAACTCTTCTAAAATCAGGGAAAATATAAAAGTCAGGATCACCAAATCGGAGTTTTGATTTGCTCTATACAAAGGACAATGCAGACAGTGACAAACGAATGTACCCGTTCACTACAGAATGTGCATTAACTCTAAAACGTAGAATTTAAAAACTGGATCCCTAACTGCTAGGTACAGTGCTTAGAATATAGTAGATAGACTATAAATATTTTCTGGAAGAATGAACTCTCAAATCTGGATTTAATATAATCAATCATGCTTTCCTTGGTTCACTACTTTGCAATTTCTACATTATATAAGAAGTCTTGATACCTAGTAGACCAACCACAATCACTGTGGGTTTTTGTTGTTGTTGTTGTTTTGTTTTGTTTTCTTTGAGATGGAGTCTTGTTCTCTCACCCAGGCTGGGGTGCAGTGGCACGATCTCAGCTCCCTGAAACCTCCGCCTCTGGGTTCAAGCAATTCTCCCACCAAGGAGCTGGGATTACAGGTGTGTGCCATCACGCCCAGCTCGTTTTTGTATTTTTAGTAGAGACAGGGTTTTGCCATGTTGGCCAGGCTGGTCTTGAACTCCTGACCTCAGGTGATCCGCCCATCTCGGCCTCCCAAAGTGCTGGGATTACAGGCATGAGCCACAACCACTGTTTTTTGACATCTACTCTCTTCCCGGCTGCCTGAATGCACTCAGTCTTACTCATTTTCATATTCTTCATAGCAGAGTAAATAGGAGATGCTCAAAATATGATGTTGAATGAATAAGTAAGCAAGAATAGTTACTGACAATGACTAGAATTTGTAGAGTTTCTTTTTGCTCTTCAATGCATGGATATTCCTCTTAATCCCTACACACTTGTGGGATAAAATGCTCTGGCAGAGGAACTAGGTTTGACTGTGTATGAAAGAGCATCTACTTGTGGTATAGACAGGGCTGCAGAATTCTCATAAACACTGAAGGTGTGGAAATCAGAAAGAGGAAGAGCCCTTATCTATATGGTCAAATTAATACAGTCTTGAAAAATAACTGCAAAGGTTGCTTTAAGTCCACACAATTTTAAAAAGGCAAATAACTAGATACAAGATGAACAGAAACAGAAATACTTAGCATTATAAGGAAATTCTGATTAAGGATATTTTCTAAAAATATTTTCCTGTATTAAGTATATATGTTCATTTAAAAATGTTTTTGATAGTTTAGAAGCATGTATCTCCACCTTTTTAGCCAGCAAACAGTGACCTTTATAAAGTTACTTCTTGATAAATTGGGGTCACCTCTATAACCTTTTTACCTCTGGGGAATGTTTTTTGAGGAAGGGGAACTGAGCATTATTGGCCTCTATGGGAAGTCATGCCATGTATTTCACACCAGACATGGAGTGTTTTACAGGACAGTTCAGGGAGATGCGAATGTATCCTTTCACATCTGCATGTTCTCACCCTACAAACATTTCCCCACTCTACAAACCTTCTCAACTATATCTACACCTCTGATTATTTGTTAGACTTCCTTTCCAAAAAGCTTTACTCCATAATATTTTGCTCTATTTAGGGCAAAGAAATCAAGTAATTTCACAGAGATATTTAGTTAAGTTATATATGCTGTAGGAAACACATAATAAGACATATGAAAAACTATCAACTTCATTTGTAATCAAATAAATGCAAATTAAAACAGTGAGATACTATTTTTAACCTATCGAATTAACTACTAATAAAAAAAAGATTCAATGCTAGACAGTGTGCAGTGAAACAGGCATGCTTATACAGTGCTGGTGGCAATATACTGGTGTATTCTTTCTGGAAAAGAACCTGGCAAAATGTATGAAAGACTTTGTAAAGATTTATAATTTTGGACACATTAATCCCACTTCTGGAAATCCATCCCAAGGAAATAATAAAAGATTCAAAGATTTTCTAAGGATGTCCAACAGTATCATTATTTTTATTTTTATTTATTTTTTTGAGACAGAGTGTCTCTCTGTCTCACCCAGGCTGGAGTGCAGTGGTGCGATCTTGGCTCACTGCAGCCTCTGACTCCCAGGTTTGAGCGATTCTCCTGTCTCAGCCTCCCAAGTAGCTGGGAATACAGGGGCATGCCACCACACCCAGCTAATTTTTTGTATTTTTAGTAGAGACAGGGTTTCACCATGTTGCCCAGGCTGGTCTTGAACTCCTGACCTCAGGTGATCCACCCACCTCGGCCTCCCAAAGTGCTGGGACTATAGGCGTGAGCCACCGCACCTGGCCAACAGTAACATTAATAGTGCAAAATCGGAATTAATCAACATGAGAACAAAGTTAAATAATGGTAAACCTACAGACATACTGATTCTGTAATGGAAAAATGCTATCAATAGTGTTAAGTCAGGCCCCCAAATCTTGTATATTTAATATAATCAGGTCTACGTAAGGCAAAAAATAATACTCTGTCTTTAGGTAATAGGATCATGATTTCCCCCTCATCCTTCTATTTTTAAATTTTTTTCATATTTTCTACAATAAGCATATATCATTTTTATCCATGTGCCATGTCCTTCAGAAGGAGGCAGAGGTGGCCTTCCAGCCTGCTGGATTTATGGTGGTAATCTATTCCAGATTAAAGGCTGAGGCTGTCAGAAATCTGACAATAAGTAAATGGTGTTTAGTTGTACTACTTGCCACAAAGTGAACTACACAACACAAAGCAATCAAGAAAAAAACTGATCCCATCTAATGAAATCTAATGATGAATTAATTTTCCAAAATGTATGACAAAGAGCAAACCCTGATATGTGCAATCAGAAAGAACAAAAACTAGTATTTACCGACTGTTTCTAGTGTGTCAGCA